CTCATATGGTGGCTCACAACTGTCCAAACTCCAGTTCCAACAGATCCAGTAACCTCTTCTGGCACCAAGGATACATGGTGGTATACAGATGTTCATACAGCCCCAAACTTACAAATAAAATAATTTCAAAAATTAAAAACTTTAGGACCTAGAAACAAAGTAGAATAAAGAAAAACAAAAAATCAATTTCAAACAGAACTGAAAAATAATAGAGAAAAATCAATAAAGCTAAAAGCTGATTTTTAAACATCAATATTATATTCCTAGAGAGCTTGACCAGGTCTAAAAAGAGGGAAGATATAAATCATCAATATCAGAAATAAAAGGGTGATATCAACAAAGATTCTGTAGACAACAAAATGATATGGGGACATAAGAAATAATTTACTCTAGTACTCTGAACAGCTTAGATCAAATGGTCATATTCTTTAAAAGATAGAAACTAACAAAGCTTACTTGAGAAGAACTGATGAATTTCCACAAATTCTTCTGAAAAAGAGAGAATACTTCCTAATGCATACTAAGAGGTCATCCTCACTTCACATACAAAGGAGGGAACATTATGCTGAAGGCATAAGGTAAGCCAAAAAGTACAAACAAATTCAACAAAAGTCCTTGGAGAAGCCCATGGTTCTTCATGCTTTAAACCTAGATTCAGAAGTGGTCTAAAAATCATTCCTCCTGAACAAACAAGCTTAAGAGAGAAATTAATTAGGTTACATAGCAAACTCTCAAGAGTGCCACAATCAGAAAACTTTCATAAAAAGAGACCTGTTGTTAGAGACTCACTTCCTCTGGAGATCAGACAATACAGAATAATCACAATTCAGGGTTCCAATGGATACCCTGGAATTGGCTGGTAAAACAGAGTGATATGATACAGGCATGGCTTGGGGGACTGTCTGACACAACCCAGAATGAATACAAGGAGAAGCAAGGGCTACAATGATGAAGAGAATGGAAGGCACACAGCCAGTGAGGCCCATGATGGAAGAAGCAGCATCAGTCTTTGGTAGTTGCTTTTGCCATGCATGTCCTTTTTGGGTCTGGTTTACATCACTCAGTTTGATATTTTCTAGTTCCACCCCTTTGCCTGCAAAATTCATGATGTCCTTGTTTTTAATGGCTGAATAGTAAAGTATTCCATTGTGTAAATGAACCACATTTTCTGTATTCATTCTTCAGTTGAGGGACACATGGGTTCTAGGTTCTGGCTATCACAAATAAACCTGCTATGAATATAGTGGAGCACTTATCTTTGTGGTATGGTAGAGCATCTTTTGGATATATGCCCAGAGCAGTATAGCTGGGTCTTCAGGTAGAACTATTACCAATTTTCTGAGAAGCCAACAGATTGATTTCTAGGGTAACTGTATGTGCAGAGAGTCAGGTGAGAAACCCAGAAGGCCAGAAGAATGAATGGAGAGAAATCTGAGGCTTCCAGGACTGGAGGGGTGAGGGGAATCTTTAGAAAGTCTCAGAAGCTTAAGACTGGGGAGGATCCCAGGAGTCAATGTCAAGATGCCTAACAGTGGGAACATGAAACCTGAAGAGGGCACCTCCTGTAGCCAGGTAGGACCCACAGTGGAGGGATAAGGGGACCAACCCACCTACAAAACTTCCCACCTAAAATCTGTCCTGTCTAAAAGAAATGCAGGGACAAAGATGGAGCAGAGATGGAAGGAATGGCTAATCACTAACTGGCCCAACTTGAAACCCATCCCATGGGCAAACACTAATCCCTGACATTATTGATACTCCGTTATGTTTGCAAACAGGAGCCTAGCATAACTGTCCTCTGAGAGGTTCTACCCAGTAGCTTACTGAAACAGATGCAGGTACCCACAGACAAACATTGGACAGAGGTAAGGGACTCTTATGGAAGAGTTGGGGAAAGGACTGAAGGCCCTAAAGGGGATGGGAACCCTACAGAAAGTCCAACAGATCCAACTATCCTGGACCTCTGGGAGCTCTCAAAGACTGAGCCACTAACCAAAGAACACGAATGGGCTTGAACGAGGGCCCCAGCAGATGTGGCAGACATATAGCCCAGTCTCCACGTGGACACCCCCAACAGCTGGAGAGGAGGCTCTCCCTAAAGCTACGCTTGATTGTGGTATCCATTCCCCAACATTCCCCTTGTCTGGCTTCAGTGAGAGGATGCATCTACTCTGGCAGAGACATGATGCACCAGGAATACCTGAGGGGGCCCCACACTCTTAGGGGAAAAGAGGGGGAAGGATGAGAGAAGGAGTCTATGAGGGGGGAACCTGGAGGCAGGGACATTGCTTGATGTAAGTAAGTAAATAAATAAATTAAACAAAAAAGAATAGGGAAAGTAAAAGCTCCTAGCTGACAAACTGGATCCGACTAGGCAAAACTGGTGTCCTGCTGTTACTGGAACAATTGCAAGGAAAAATAGCACCATTATTGTGAACCCTACATTCATGAGGAACCTCAGTCTTTCAAACTTCCTCAGCCCTTAAAAGAGTAGGTTTTATGAAGATCAATGAATGCGAAGAATATACAAGGAAATAGCTAGATGAATTTTAAAAGGTAATACAAAAGATGAGTGAGAAACTCAATAAGGAGAGGGATTTTGAGAAAGAATAAAAAAAAATCTTGAAAGTAAAAAGCTCAACAGATGAGATTAAAACATACATAGTTCAGAGCCTCACTCACCAACAGACTAGATGAAGCAGAAGAGAAAACAGGTCTGGTTGATTAGTTATAACCCTCAGACAATGATAAGAATATGAGAAAGAACAGAATATAGCAGATCTCAGAGACTCCATTAAAAGACCAAGTAGAAGAGGAAGAATAGATACACTCATAAAAGCTTGGAAAAGAAAGAAAGAAATGAGAATTAAGGAGAGATGGGTCAAATACTACAAAACAATAAATCATAAACAATAATACTAAATATAAACAGTTTTAATTCTCCAAGTAAAAGACGCAGGTTGAGTATATTAGGAAAAAAAGGTCCATTAAATAATGTGCTGCCTTCAGGAAGCTTGCCTCATCAGTAAAAGCTAAAAGTGAAATGATGATAAGTAATATTCTAAGCAAGTACAACCATCAAGCCAGAAGCTATAGTACATTAATATCTAACAGGGCAGACTTTAAACCAAAATTAGAACAGAAAAAAAGGTGGTACCACATATTGATTAAGGTAATGTTCATCAAGAAGATATAATGATCATAGACATATAAACAGTGAACTTGTAACACTCATTGTAATAAAACTCTAAAAGACATAAGAAGAGAAACAGACCAAAGCAACAAAGTGTTAGACTTTATTCTCACCAGTGACCATTCAGACCAAAATCCAGAATAAAACAAATAAATAAAAACCAACAACCAGTCGGGCAGTGGTGGCGCACGCCTTTAATCCCAGCACTTGGGAGGCAGAGGCAGGTGGATTTCTGAGTTTGAGGCCAGCCTGGTCTACAGAGTGAGTTCCAGGACAGCCAAGGCTATACAGAGAAACCCTATCTCGAAAACCAAAAACCAAAAACCAAAACCAAAACCAAACAAAAAACCCAACAACCTAGAGACATGAGCTGTGTTACACTAGAGAGGAAAGTGCACTTGACAGATACCTACAAAATATTCTCTCAGTTCCAAGTACATACACTCTTCATCAGCACATGGTACTTTTTCTAAAACAATGAACACTGGAGATCATAAAGCAAATCTTAATAAAATTTAAAAACTAAAATAATTTATTATATCTTATCAGATAATAATGGACTAGGCTAAATACCAATAGCAAAGACTACAGAGATTGTGTGAACACATGGAGGCTGAACAATATGCTTTGGATGAAAGTGAGCACTGAAGAAAATGGGGAATTTTATAATTCCTATAATTAAATAAAAAATGAAACAATGTATACGAACCTGTCAGATACAGCAAATATATTAAAACAGAATGTTCTCAAACAAATAATCTAGTAACCTGTCTTAAATAGAATAAACTAAAATCAGTAAAAGAAAAGGAAAAAAAAAAGATCGGAGCTGAACTCAATGAAACAGACATTAAAATAATAAAAACGGATCAATCCAACAAAAGTTTGGTTCATGGAGAAGATAAAGAACAACAAACTCAGCCAAACTAACCAAACAAAAAAGGGAAGGCCCAAATTAGCAAAGTTAGGCAGAAATAGGATATATTATAACACGTATAACTGAAATCCAGAGGATCATTAAGAAATATTCTACAAAGTTATATTCTAATAAAATGAAGCTCTGGAAGAGCTAAGACAAAAATCCAGACACGTATCACCTTCTAAAATTTGAAGCAAGAAGATGCAACCCACTCTAATAGACAAGTAGAATGCAATGAAACTGAGCAGTAATGAGGCCTCCCAACAGAATAAAGCTGGACAGAGTCACTATGAGGTTTACAGACCTTTTAAGACAAACTAATGCCAGTACTCCTGCAATACTTGCACAGAATAGAAAAGGGAAGGAAGGGGTCAAACGTTCTACCACCGTAAAATTCCTTCACAGGACGAAGGACAACTGGTGGGAACTGGTTCTCTCCTTCAATCATGTTGGTTCCAAAGGCTGAACCTGAGTCATCAGGCTTGGTGGCAAGTGCCTTTATCCTCTGAGTTCTCCTGCTGGCCAGTGTTCTAGCCCTTTATCCTAGCAATGGTTAATAGTTTCACTCTATAATAGCCCACTGAACTGTGTAACAATACTGAATGTACTTTATGCTTCTTATGATTCAGATAAAACCAGTTTAAACATTTACTTACAACTAGAGAAATGGTGCTAGCCTGCAATCCCAGAATGTGAGATACAGAGGCAAAAGAATAACATACTTTGGGCTAACCTGGGATAGTCAGTTGTACCAACTTTTACAATAACAATGAACACACAAATCAACCATCAAATACCGAAAGGGTGACACAGCCCAGCAGCTGTGCTTGCCTGGGCTCTGGATTTGATCTCCATCCAGCTCCTTAAATCAATTTTTAAAAGTTCAATTACCTGCTTTTTCTGTGTTCTGTTCCTGTCTTCCAGCCAGTCATCCATTTGCTCCTCAATTTCTTCAATAGATGTTCCATGATCATAAGACTGAATATATGTATTTTCTAAAGGCATATACACAGGAAATTCTGGTTTTGGTTTTTTAACTTTAACTTTCTTCTGTTCTAAAAAGAATATTTAAAAACCAGTTATTAAGATTTGTTCAGAATAAAAAGAGATTAAAATATTCTAACATTGTAGTCAAAGACTATGTCATTGCAGAACACATAAACAGTGTTATTTTATCAAGACAGAACTGCTCTGTTGTAAATAGTTATATACATTATTGCACATTGACCACTGCATTATTTTAAAGAAACTCAGATGCTGCCAATGTGATTATGACATACCCACACTCTTAGTTTTGCATATACCTTAGCTTTTACCTTTCATTAAAATGTTTCATTTGACAAAATGGAGAGAGCTTTAACTTAGTATTAACTTTTTTAAGGATTTATTTTTATCTATGTGTATATGTATGTTTCTATGTGAATGTGTGCCATGTATATGCAGGTGAGCACAGTGCCCAGAAGAGGGTGTCAGATACCCCAAAGCTGGTGTTGAAGGCGCCTGGTCAGTCAGCTTGTTCAACCTGGGTGCTGGGAATTAAAGATTGGGTACTCTGAAAAAGCAGGAAACAGTCTTAACCATTGAGCCATCTTTACAACCCTTAGTTTTTGAATCATACCCTCATTGCACATTAAGCTATAAAGTTTTGAACAAGTAACTTAGCTGTTTGAGTATCCATTTTTACATTTGCAAAAACAAAGTATTTCTCAATAGACTGTATACTTTTATATTTTCAATATTTTAAAAAGAAAATCTAATCTGGGAACATCAGACAAACATTGCATAAAAATATTTCCAAGGGTATTCACAATAGTACACACTTTTAATCTCGTTATTCAGAAGGCAGAGGCAGGCACATCTCTGTGAGTTCAAGGGTAGCGAGGCCTACACAGTGAGTTCAGTTAGAGCTATATAGAGACCTGTCTCAGAACAAAAGAAATAAAAGAAAAGAGAAAAAAGAAGAGAAGAGAAGAGAAGAGAAGAGAAGAGAAGAGAAGAGAAGAGAAGAGAAAAAAAGATATCCCCAACAATGCAAACACTACACTTAGCTTGTACCAGAGCACACACCTTGATACTCCTGTAATGATGGAACTGCCTCTCCAGTCTTCAAAGAACGCCCAGCATTTATTTACTGAATTTCCTTCTCATGAGTGACAACTCTGAGAAGCTGCTCTTATTTCATGAGCAAACTCCTCTAGTCCAACAACTACATTTTTACCATCCAATATTTGTGTGTGCATGTGGATATTATAATCTCAGTGTGATAAAATCATCAAATATCTAGAAGAAACAGACAATCCAAAAATCTTTCCATTCAGAGGAAAAATGATTTAACAATGGATGCCAAGACTGAATACTCATTTGAAAGAAAACCAGACACACTTTTCTAAATATATACAAAAATAAATTCCATCTGAAAAAGAGAATAGAGTTTTAAAAATGAAACTCCAAAAATCTTAACAAAAATTAGCTTAAAATTCACATGTGCTATATAAAAGACGAGGAAATCCTAACATATCACAACCACAAATTCCAAAATTAATTAATTAATAAAAAAAGACAGGATAAAAACTAAGAACAAATTTGGAAATAGTGTCTACATCTCACAGAAAATTGATAGAGATTATAGAAAGAGACTGGTTGTATAAATAAGAGGCTAGGCAAACCAACAGAAAAAGTAAGTGAAGGTCATGAGTAGGCAATCCAAATGAATAAATTCACAAGGCCAACAAACAAGAAGCGTATGCTCTAAGGTTAAAGAAATGAAAATTCAAGTAATTCCAAGACCTATTATATGGATATAAAATTTAAAAGATCTAATAACATATATTCCTAGCAGAGGAAAGGCTCTTTTTAAACTGAGAGGGGGGAGAATTGAAATGTGAATTATCGTATTAAAACCTTATGGGAGAGTAGTCTAAGAAGATCTATTAAAATTAAAGCATTTTCTGAACATCACAGAATTTGAATATTATAGTGGGCATGCATATAGATATATGTATGCATATGTGTAAGAATATTTACTGTTTCTATAGAGATAGTAGTCAGCAGTAAATGCTTTGTAGGAGACGTAACTATATAATTATTGATGATTCATCAACATAGAGAAATACTAAGTCATCGTTGAAGCATAGCTCCAGTGATAATTTCTGGATTTTTAATGAGTTCAAATAGCAAAAGCATATGATTCCATATTTTCAAGAGAAATCATGCTTCTATATATCCTTATGTTTATGCAAGTCTACACACATATTTATTATATAATTAAATTGGACATTATATAATCTTGGATATTATATAATACAGATATATTCTATACTATATAATCCATATTATGTAATATGAAAATACTATATGGAGGAGTTATGTAGGGGATGAGAAGGAGAAAGGCAGTGCAGTAAAAACCAATAAAGAAAGAGAAGCAACACCACAGCAAAGAAACAAGTAAGATATATATGAATGTGTACTTACATATCCTATGGTAAAAATACAGACATAAGTATAAAATGTAAAAGACTGTACAACACAGATCTACTTGTAAATTTAGGCTCCTAAAACCAATAAACAACAGCTTCATAAATATAAATTCTGTGCTTTTAAAAATAATTTACAAGTTTGCACCATCCAACATCTTGCATTTGGCAAAAATCTTAATTTAAAATTAAGTATTTCCAAAACTAAAGGTCTAGAAAATATGCATAAGTGATCCAAAGATTTGTATTGGCCAATTACTCTCAGTATTCCTCCAATGACCGTAATTCAATAAAACCTACATAATTAGTACAGGTACACACACAAGAAGTTTGAGTGTAATAACATCAATTATACTTCACTCAAGAAAAACAAATCCAAGACTTCTCTTTTTAGCAGCATGGTGAGGCTTAAGAAAAATTCAGAGTTAAATAAAAATATACAGTATCTTGATGCTGCTTATGAGAATCTTACTGAATTTTTTTCATTAAATTTTGATTGTAGGGCTAGAGAAATGTCTCGGCAGTTAAGAGCAACTCTTCTAAAGGTCTTGAGTTTGTTTCCCAGAACCCATGTGGTGGTTCAAAACTGCTTGCAATTCCAGCTTTAGGGGCAATCTGACACTTCTGGTCTCTGCAGGTGCCTGTACTCACATGGACACACCTATGCACAGACAAAACATACGCACACACTATTAAAAATAATAAAATACTTTAAAAGTATCATAAGATTTTGAAGGCTACTGAAAGAGAAACGTGGACAACAACGCAGCCACAAAATTTTTAACCTCCAATATGTCCTGCCTGCCAAATATGCTACAGTAATGGTGGTACCGAACTTGTGGGCCAAACAATGTCTGATTTGACGTAAGGCTCACTCCATGAAAAGGAACTCATACCTGACACCAAGAACCAGAGACTGGATAGCCTAGAGACCCAGGTAAAACCAAATACATAGTCATAAAAGAAGAAGGAAAGAAAAAAAACTACCAAACTACTAAAACAACTGCTAATGATATTCTGCTGTGATCACAGATCTGCCTTATCCCAGCAGCAGATGGGACAGGTGCAGAGACCCACAGCCAAACGGTATGTGGAGATAGTCTAAATGGGAGGTCTTCATCAAATCCCTCCCCTCAGAGTTTAGGGAATCCCACAGAAGAGAAGGTGGAAAAACCGTAAGAGCCAGAGTGGATGGAGGACACTGGGAGAACGAGGGCCTCTCGATCAACTAAGCAAGGCACATATGAGTTCACAGAGACTAAACAGCAAGCCGAGGTCTGGGCATGGTCTGCACCAGGTCCTCTTTGCATATATGACAGCTATTGGCTCAGTATTTCTATGGGATTCCTGACTGTGCTTGCTGTAGGGACTCTTCCTCCTGCTGAGTTGCCAGTTCAACTTTAATATGAAAGTTTTTATATTTTATTTTGTCACGTTTGGTTGTTATCTCTTAGATATGTTCCTTTCTAATGAGAGACAGAAAAGTAGATCCAGAGGCAGGAAAGGTGGGGAGGAACTGGGAAGAGTGGAAGGAGGGGAAACTATAATCAAGATATATTATATGAGAAAAGAATCTATTTCAATTAAAAAAACATTTATACTTTAATGATAATTAAGCTTCAAAAAATGAAAGTCAAGTTAAACTCAACCAATAAACCAAGCAAACAAAAAAAACCACAAAGAACAAAACAAATAATAAACAAACCAAAACAGCAAAGTTTATACTTATGATTCATTAAACATGTAGTGAATGAAGAGAAATAGTTGTTTTACAAAAGAAAAATTTATTCAGTAAGATTATCAAAGGAATGACTAATGCATTAACAACTTAAGAGACTCCTTCAATTTAGTGTGCCAACTAAACAAAATAAAAAGGAGTTTGAGCTCAGGGAAATAAAAAGAAAAAAAAATCCAATTTCTGTGACTGAGGATAGGTAAGTGACATAGCAGTTGCCTAAACTATGAGGCCCTGGGTTCAACACAAAAATGAACAAAATTTCCAACAAAAGAAGTTTATTTATTACAAGTGGGGTTTTAAAATGAGAAAACTTATGAATTACTTCCATGATCAGTTATTTTCTGAAGGTGTTTTTAACTGCATATTTATCAATAACGATTTGAGCTGTCTGGCCATGAATCATACCTTAACAGCATACAGCAGATCACAGCATACATATGTTTTTCTAGCAGACTCAGAGATTTTCTGATGATCAGACAACCACTACTCTGTTTTATCAAAGCAAGACACACCAAACCAAACCAAACCAAACCAAACCAAACCAAACCAAACCAAAATAAACTAAACTACAGCCACATTCGATTCCCCCACATCAAAAAGGATGATAAGAAGACACTGTCAAATAGTAACAGAATACCATCCTTCCCCAGGGTGGCACAAGAAAAGGCTGGAAGGTAGATGAGGGCCCCAGGTCACCTGTGTGGTTCATGCAGACCGCACTGACAATCTGTAGTATCGAGGTGTCTCCCTTCCCTGAAAGGCCAGCGTAAGAGGAAAGTAAGCAGACCTGGAAGTTTGGGCAGTCGTGGGTAGAGTCATCATCATGCAGTAATACTAGTGGGGAGCAGTGGGGAACTGCCGGCTTCTTACTACTCCAAGAGAAGCAGAAACACCAGTTCCCACTTGCACACTCACATACCCTCTTCCTCAGCTACAAAATACCTTAACTTTATAGTAAAAAGGCAAATGAAATGAACTAGAAGAGCTAATATGCTTTTGGGAAAAAAAAGTACCAAGAATCGCTTGACTCAATTTAAAAACTTCCATGGCCACACAATGAAGACATAATCATGGCAAAGGGAAAACTATATAGACAAGAGAAAAAGCAGATACTAGTTAGAAGGAATAGCTCTGCATAAGTATGGGCAATTGATTTAAGACAAGGGTTCAAATCCAATTCAAAGGATTTAGAATTTTCTTATAAAGGAATTTTCTTATAAAGCAAAACAAAAATGAAAACAGTACTGGAAGCCAAGCATGGTGGTTCCCGACACGGAGAAGGAAGTCAAGACAAACCTGTGGGCTGGAGCCACTCTGGTCCCCACAGGAAGTTCCAGGTCAGTGAGAGTATACAGTAAGACACTGCCTCTGTCTGACAAAGAAACAAAACCATAGAACCTGAATGCTAATGGGCCTCATGGCTATGTACCATACCACTTGGACTGCACTCTCTGGCTAGAGAAACAAGAAAATGAGTGAGTGGGCTATGCTATGTCAGTGTTACTAACAAGCTATTTCAAATAAACAAGTATGATGAGGGTAATTTCTTAAAAACAAGTATCTTTCTGGGGATAGAGCAATTGTTCAGTGGTTAAAAACACCTGTTGCTCTTGTAGAGAAGCCAGATTTGATTTCCAGAACCCATGCAGCAAAACACAACAGTACATAACTTCAGTTCAAAAAGTTCTGTTGTCCTCTTCTGATCGCCATGGGCACTTCATGTAAATGGTGCACATACATACATGCAGGCAGGCAAAACCGCCCATTCATATAAAATAAAAATAAATCCTAATAAGTATCCATGTAGGGAGCTAGAGATGGTTCAGTAATGAAAAGCACTGTCCTTCCAGAGGCTCCAGGTTCTATTTCAGAATCCCCATTATTGTTCACAGTCACTGCAACTCTTAGACATAAAATATAGCTACATGTATATGTACGCCTATTAATAATTAAAGAAGTGAGGTTATGAATTTGAGAGGGAGTGAAGGAGACACAGGAGTTGGAGGGGAACAAGGAAGGGTAGAAATGTGTTAATACAGTCCTTGTGTGAGATTCTCAAAAAATCAAATAAAAAAAGATTACCCTTTTAGACCTCCCCCTCTGCAATTCAATTTTGTTAAGAGCACCAGAGCTTACCTCAAAGTTAATTCTGGTTCAGCCCTCCAACTCTGCATACAATCTAAGCAGTAAGGCAGATAGATAGGCTTGAGGGCAGTAAGCAGTTAGGCCTTGAAAAACTCGTAGCATAAAATAACTATTGCTAATATATACCTTAGCACTTAATCAATAAAGTAGTTCAAAATATTTGTATGAACACAAAATTCAAATGGTGGTCTTTAAAATTAAGAAAAAGGGAAGATAAAACACACACTGGGGGATCTGAGCCATGAATTATATGAATTCTAAACTATACAATGCAGAAAACTATGATGGAGTTAACAAATTAAAAATTCCTTGCATGTAACCATTAGAGTTAACATTTAAAAATACATGACAGTCTCTGACTCTGCTAACAGTGATAGTAATTTCTCTTTACTGCTCCTAATACTGATTATATCACCTTTTCTAAAACACCACTGACATGACAACAGAAGACAGTTTTATCACGCTAGCCTTGTATGAGCACTGGGCTAGTGATGGACTGTCATATGTTTTACAAGGTTGTTTATTATATGTCTTTTCTAAAAAAGAGAGAACTTCTAGATGTCTGTCTATTTAAAAATTTGTATTTCTTTATATGATTTTTTTAAGTAATAAAATAAGAAAAAGTACTTTTTAAATCTGAAAATTTTAAACATGTTCTGAAAATGGTTACAAATGTCCAATGTAAATTTTACATTGTGATAAACATCTCCCCAATTTTTCATTCTGGCAGTGTATATTCTTAATCTGCTCTTATTAGACAATTCTAGTACATACTTCAAAATTTTACCAATAAATTGATTCTCATAAAACTTAGATTAAAATGACAAGCTATGAAAACAGTGAAGTGTAGTGAACTCCTATTCCCTTAATAGGTAAATTTGGGGTTACTTTTAAGATTTTGAGTATTTTCTTATAGGTTCATTTTCCTTCTGACTCACTTAGAATGCTTAAAAATGTTAATGTACAAACTTTACTTAAAATAAACAATTTTGCCGGGCAGTGGTGACACATGCCTTTAATCCCAGCACTTGGGAGGCAGAGGCAGGTGGATTTCTGAGTTTGAGGCCAGCCTGGTCTACAGAGTGAGTTCCAGGACAGCCAGGGCTATACAGAGCCCTGTTTTCCGAGGTCTCGGAAAACCAAAAAAAAAAAAAAAAGAAAGAAACAATTTTATAAAAATTATACCTAGAGTTTCATTTGCCTACTCTGACATTTGTCCAGCATATGCATTCAGCAAACCTTCACACAGTCCTCTGTCATCATGATTCTTTCCTTCTTGATAGGGGTGCACTTTAAATAATTATACAGGTCTAAGTATCATTTTGTAGTTGTTAGAAGTTTCTGAATTGAATTACACACTCCCTGAGGTAGGGTACTGTATAGGCAGACGCATGCTGGCATTCACTGATACTTGTAGATTACATACAGTCCCTACTTACTGAGCATTTGCTATGTGCCAGGACACTGTTCACTGTTGCAGACACAGCATGAGAAACAGTTCCTGTTGTAAAGTGGCCCAGACACTCAGAGAATTGAGACAGACAGAAAAGCTGCCCCTGAAAATAAGTATATCTTGAAGACGCAATAGTGCATGAAATAAAGTCCTAACATTCATAGAGTTTATATTTACTGGAAGAAACTAAATATAAGCAAAATTAATACACTTCTGCTCAGCAACAGTAAATGTTGTAAATAAAATAACCAGTATGTGCAGACAGTGTACATTAGGGAAAGATGTACATAAAACAAAATCAATGAAAGGAATGGAGTTTAGAAAGGGTAACCTTTAACAGTTATGTTCAACTTTTCCTAAAAATCCCAAGAAATACCTCTGTTCCATGGAACATTCCTATATTTTCTTTTTTGTTTTGTAAAACTTTAAGGCTTGTTTATTTTTATTTCATGTATGTAGGTACTTTCCTTGCAATGAATAGCTGTGCACCACTGTGTGCATGGTGCCCATGGCGGCCAGAACAGAGCAGCAGATCTGTTGTAATAGCAGACGTGAGCTTGGAATAGACAGTTGTGAGCTGCCATGTGCTTGCTGGGAATTGAACTCAGGTCCTCTTTCAGATCAGCTAGCTTCTTAACCCTGAGCCATCTCTCCAGCTCTGTTTTTGTTTCTTTGAGGTACGATCTTGATAGGTAGCTCGGGCTGGCCTGGTTAACCCACGGCCTTCAAGAGGCATGCCTTCTCTCTCAGTCTTCAAGGTGCTGGGGTTAAAGGAGTTCCCATTGCTGACTTCTTTTCAATATACTGATAACATATTTCATAACAATATTATAAAAGAAACAAAGGCTTTCAAAACAAAAACTAGGGTTTTTCCCCCAGGTCTATCCACTGCTAAAGTACTATATTAACATATAATAGTTGGTTATTCTTGGCATTAAATATTAATTATAATTTTAGTAGTGAAAGATAATTGGTCTTTGTGGATTTTGAATGGTCCTACACCTGAAGAGGTGTATGAATCCAGTTTAGCTCATCTCATCTCTCTCGACACTTCCATTTTGTGTGGTTAAGTCAGAGTATTTTCCATATGTAATAAAGTAAAAACAAGTGTCTCCATTGGAAAATGGCAAAGAAAACACAGGAAATTCAACTTGTGTTAAAGGAAAATTAGAATTTAGTTTTGTATGACATTGTTAACAAAATAAAGCAATACTTAGAACTCACTTTGAAGTGTTTCAATTTCAACTCTTGCCAGTGCATCTTCTTTTTCCTTCAATTTTGTCTCCTTGTATTTTGCATAAAACTGCCCAGCATCCTTAAAAGGAAGTTACAAGTAAATTAACATACAATAAGTTTGCTTTGACAGTATACTTCCTGTAATTTCCTTTTAGAACAATGCACTCATTTTCCATTTAGGTTTTCCTGTTTTCCAATAACAAGACGAACAAAGGAACCTGAACAAAACTTCTCTGTAACGTGTCTCTCCTGGAGAAATGAGCATGGGTATAAGTTTAGGTAAACACTTCACACACGGAAAGGAGGGTTTCCCGTCCAATTCACTTTCACAGTCTGATGTCTCCCGACATCAATCATACTATTGTACACGCAGCAGAAAAGCTGACTGAAGCAAGTATCTAGTGTAGGAGTCATGCTACCGTGCCTAACAAAGCACAGCTCTGCGTTATTTCCTCACCTCCAGTTCTCAGTACTACTGAGAATAAAACAATTTAGCTCTGCATGAAAGCTGTCACTCTTCCTTCCTATTGCTCTCAGAGAAAACTGTAACATAGTTGTCATAGGAAACTGAAGATACACACTACATAGACATTCATGTGCTAAAGTCTCAATCAGTGGCATACAGGCAAATCTTCAGTAAGGGACCAAAAGAATAGGCAGCACATACTGAGCATCCTAGCAATGACTCCTTGATGTAAATCTCAATACATTCCAGAAATACTAGGCCACACTGTTTCCACACCTCTGTCTTTCCTTTGCTATTTTGCTCCCTGCCATTATTTGACAAACTCCTTATCATATTGGAAAACCTGTTCAAACATCATTGCCTTCATCTTCTCCAGAACAGCAAGTCTCTGTACTTAAACACTCATATGTTTGTACCATATTATAGTATCAGCTAGAAGATGGGAAACTTGAGACAGAATAAAGATTTGACAGAACAAGCACTCCATAAGTGTTACTAAACTGAACCAAACTGAAATACATGTGAAATCTTACAAAATAGGAAATGAAAATGCATGATCTGACTGATGAAGGTTAAGGAAAGAAGTAGGTATTAAAGTATTTAATATAATACTTCTGTATGGTAGGATTCCTAGAGAAGATAAATCACAGGCCTAGGAAACAAAGGCACACTACCACTTAGGTCAGATGCAAACATGTGAATGCTTCCACCTCATTTCACTCATGATTGTAAGCAAACAATGGTATCTCATGGGGTCTGTCTCTCAGAATTATAGTAGAACTCTTCTACCAGATAACAAATTAGGGGAATTATATAGAGAGTCTTTCTAAATTATTTGATAAATACATAGTGAGGATTTTTTAATTCTTTCAGTTGACTTTCATGTTTCTAGTTTCTAGTACAAGCATTCCTTTCAGCCATAGGTCAGCTACACAGCTGCTCAGTGAGAAGAGTACAAATAGCAATTCACCCAATTCACTCATCCTCCCATACCAATAAATACAGAAGTTATACCTACATTTCCTTAGGGTTCTGGACTAAGGTTTTATGGCCCCTTAACAGCTACCATCCCCCTCCCCCCCAAAATTCTCAACCCTAGAGGAGTACTACTTTATAGTAAGTCATTTCAGTCATTTATACCTTGGTGTGAATGAATGAATGAGCTTATTAGCTTCTTTCCACAGAGTAGGTTTTAATAGTAGGGAAGAAGAAAAGGCCAGGAAGGCATTGGTTCCTTGAGGGGAGTAGGAAATGTGGCACCATGCAAAAAAAAGAAGGGCACAGATTAGTTACTTATGAGATGAAAGAATATAGATTGAAATATATCATCAGAGTATATAGTACAATGAGATATAATGTTTAAAAGGAGAGATTTGATTTTTGAGACAAGATCTCACTAGATAGCCCAGCAAGCCTTGAACTCAATTCTCCTACCGTAGCTTCCCAGTGCTGGGACTAGAGGCATAAATCAACAGGCGAGATTATATTTTGGAGTCTGGCTCCTATTTTACTGGATAGGAGATATTCAGCAAATGGTTTCACTGAGTCAGTTTTCTCATCCATAAATGAGGATAATAAAAATGCTTAACTCAAAGTCTGTTATGAAGAGTAAACATTCACTATTTAGGGGGCACTTAGGCTGCCCTCTGCACAGTCAGGTCTTCATGTATTATCGATTCCTAACCATTTGGCATTACTGTATTGTCTACTACGAAGCAAGGCTGAGTTGTTATACTCCGCACCTCACCAAAGTGCATCCTGTCAAATCCTGCATCTTCTTGCTTCTCTTACTTCTTATTTTTACCCTCTTAGCCTGGATGAAAAGATCTGTTACTAGGCTGTACCGGCCTCTTCTTAGAGATCCTGTCAACTTTAAACATTTCTCCATTAAGGTTTCTTCTTCTTGCTACAGCACATAATTTTACCAGGACTCTGCTTTGAAGTAGTCATAAGAGCCCAAGACATGCATACCTAAGAGGTGTAAAGTATCAAACACCTAAACCTCCTCTAGCTAACTCAGGGTTGTTCTGCAAATTTCTTACTTTATTACCTGTTTGTTCAAAGCAAAGAATCTCATCTTTCATATGCTCAAGCTGTAAGCATTTATTTAAACATTCCTGATTTTTTCAACTTACTCGTACTTTCAGATTATAGTTATAATTTGCCTTTTCCAAGAAACATTGTTTCCCTAACAAACCTACCATTTCAAATAATTCTACTATAACTAAATAATTCCGTTATGTTTCAGTTATCCTTGTGCACAGTACAGCATAACATGCTTAAAGGTACACTACAATCAGAAACATTCTAAAAGGAGAATGGTCACATGGTATAGAAGCTTGAAATTCTGTCTTATATAGAACAAGAGATGAGAAGATTAGGGATAACCTACCAGAAGCATTTTTAAGACTCATCAAAGGAAGAATAGTATGAATATTTCATAAAGTTCCAAAAATGGAAATTTCAATTTTGAATAATTCTTAAAAAGCATTTTCTAATAGTAAAAATTAGAAAAAAATAAACTGTCTCTGTATGTAGTATCCAAGAAGAGAGCAGGTAGTATTCTTTAAATATATACTTTAAATAGATTCAAGCATTCAAGAATTTGAAAAGGCATTCATTGTATTTAACATCTTCCCTGGCCCACCTCCTGTTTTTCTTTAGGTGCTAATTCAGGGTAATAGAATTGTTTAGTGAAAAAAACAATACTGTTGTGTATAAGATAAACTACAGTTTATTAACACTAGAGGTTAAGGATTTTCTGTAGATATAGACATTGTGTCTATTCCTGTAGCCTTTGTACACTATCCATGAGAAGACCGATGCTATGTTTCTTCAGAAATAAATGCTTCATGAAAGAAAAGCACTAAGTCTTTACTGCTTCAAATTGACCAGTTTGGGCTCTTTAATATTGTATTAAAACTGTGACATTTACATTCCTCCAGAATTTGCTTCCTCAGAGAGTTTGCAGTTTCATGGTTAAAACTTACAACAAAAGTTTTTCCTCTAGAAACAATTTTTTTCACATTAAAATTTCTTCAGGAGTTCAAAATCTGCCAGTACAGACAGCAAACAAAGGGCTGGTTTTAGTTAAGACTGCGGCCAGTCTACAGGAGTCATGTTATCAGGGTTTGTACAGAATTATGAAACATGAGCTGCTGAGCAAGAACCCACTGAGCGATTCCATGCATTTACATTCACCTGATAAACCACCATTACATGTATTGCCATTTTTTTTTGTTTGTTTGTTTTGTCTTTCAAGACAGGGTTTCTCTGTGTAGCCCTGGCTGTCCTGGAACTCATTCTGTAGACCAGGCTGGCCTCGAACTCAGAAATCCACCTGCCTCTGCCTCCCAAGTGCTGGGATTAAAGGTGTGTGCCACCACCACCCAGCTTGTATTGCCATTTTTAAAGACATGTGAGGAGTATTTATGATAAAAATAACAGCTGTACTTATGGAATATGAAAAAATATATTAGATAGACAACTAGACTGTAGAACATAGTTCCATAAAAAAGAGGAATATTTCTCTTTTACAGTTGCATGAGCTGAAGGTAGAGGTATGTCTTTCTGAAATCAGCTGGTAGAAAAGATCTTGGCAATCTTTGGCTCTTTGTACTTGCCATAATGAACAAGGAAGCCCAAGTTTCAGGAGATCACAGCTAGATGCCACTGAAGGATCACTGTTCTGAGCCTGAGTGGCAGGCATGAGAACTGAATAAGCCCCACTCAGTGGTAGACAAGTGTCTCATTTTCAGAAACTGATCTATTGGACTTTAGGATGATTGGTGCCTTACCAGATTCTATTAGTCTATTGTGACAGCAAATTTAGTACCTCACTTGTACAAAAATGCTACCAGAGGCATTTCAGAATTCTTATTTTTCCAATCAGTACTACACATTCACTTATTTTGTCCAGTTTTGAACTATGTGCACATACATAATGGGACCCAAATCTAAAGATAAAATTCACATATACTTTATACCCATAACCAGAAGGTAATTTTATAGACTATTTCTAATTTACATGAAACAACGTCAACAGACACTGAATCAATCACATGAATTACGCCATCATGTCAGCACTCACAGAAGTTTTAAATTTTGGAGCATTTTGGATTTCAGATTTTGGGTGAGGGATGCTCAAACCTGAAACGCAATGATTACCAATGAGTTGAACACAGAACGTTCAATGGGAACTTTTAGTTAGCCTGGTGGAGACTTCATCAGAAAGAGAAAAATGTAGTGAGATGAAATATTTCTGAGGTAAGCAGGTTGTAGTATGGAGACAGTTTATACATCAACCTTTATTTTAACAATACTGACACAGTAATATTAAAATAAGATTTTGACTACTTGGCATTGTTGGTTATATTTTAGTTTACTTTTACTTTTTCCTAAATATCTCAAAATAAGAAGCAATTTGAAAAAGCCTGGTCTGGGGAATAAACAAAGATGGCGGCACCTGCTGCAAAGCTCTGTGGAGTCTGGAACCCATGGAGGTTCTGAAAGATGAAGTAACAGTAGAATGGGCGTCTGCAGAGCTCACAGTAGCTCTGGAACACCCTAAAATGGAAAAAACACAAGTCTTTTTGAGTAGATGCTTTAAAAAA